AACAAACGAACGAACATCACGTCAGCGCACTCCATTCATCAGTTTCGGTTGGAACGTTTTAACGTTTTCTGTAAGCGAAAGTGTTTCACTGCCAAAAACAATAATAACACGCACAGACACAAATACACACACACTCAATCGCTCGCTCGCTAACTCATAAACTTGACGAAGTAGCGTTTTAACAGTTAAAAGTTGGTCAAAACAAAAAAAAAATGCCTGAACAACCAAAAAATGTTGTTGTAGTGGCAGCAGCAACAGCAACTAACATCATTTCCACGTTGAGAGTAGCTGACACAGTGGTTTGGCGTGGGTTTCCAATTGTTTGGAAAGGGATAGAGAGGAAGTGAGGGTACTAAAAGCTTTGATATTCATTTGAATGGAGTAGCTATGTTTTGTGGGCTTTTACGAGGTCTAATCAAACAATTTAAAACTTGTATACACTACCTCTCCCAATTTTGGGGGAGGGACCAGAGTTGATGAAATGATGGACCTTTATATCGAAAAATTGCACGAAATCTATGGTTAGTATAAATTTTAAGGTCTGTTAAGTTTTAGATCACCCAGGATTCACCATTATGTTTCTATTATGTATATGTTTTTACCAAAAAAATATGCCATACAGACCCCATGTTCGGATTTAATGTACATAGGTTTGGTAAAAATATTGCGATGATGCATTATGCAGAATAACCCATATTCTACATATAAAATTTCAGATTTTTAAAAAATTTCACACTTTGTGGGACAGATTTGAGAAAAAATAATAGAAAATCAGTGAGCGGAGCAGCATAGTCGGACGGGGCCGACCGTATGATACCCTACACAACTTTCACGAAAATCTAACTTTCTGTGGCTTGGGCAATATTTCGCGCTATTTGCACCCTTTGGACCGACTAGAGGTCAACAGCACATCTTCTTTAGACTGACATATTTTCAGAATATTACTAATATTCAGTACAGCCCTTTTAATTACTTGTCCTGATTCCCTTCACAGTGGGTTATGTTGTGATGTTCGGCTTTCAATTGTGGCCTATAGATCGACTCGAAAAAAAAAACAAAAAATTAAGTTTTCGGTCCAGCTCATCCCAATATTATTATGTGAGCATCACCGAAAATTAAAGGCGTTGTCCTTGACCGTAAGTGGAACCTAGTGGAAAATTTTAAAGCGATCATCGCTATATTTCCGCCTTCTATTGTGGTAATTGTTTATTAAATAATATCTGAATACATAAGCACCTGTAAATATTTACATGTAACTCCCACATACGAGTACATACAACAATACAATTGGAATCAATTTAAAGCCCAACCACTCGTCTAGGATATACTATCGACTTATCGGCTCTATGTCCTTCAGGAGTTATTATATACGCCATAGAATACAGATTTTATATTTTTTCACACAAAAGTAAGGGTCCATTTGACCCGCTAAATATTGACCGATCTTTATCAAAACAGGCATGCTTATTTATTGGCCCAATCCCCTTCTCCATGTAAAACTTCGCGATGTTTGGGCCGTAATTGCAGCCTTTGGAGCGTCCTGGAAATCAAACAAAAATAAAGTTTTTGGTCCATTTCATCCCCTAAATATTATGCGATCTTTACCAATAGGGGTCTTCATTGGCCAGAACCCATCCTACATGCAAAATTTCGTGAAGATTGGTCCATAACTGTGGCCTGAATCGTGTTTACAAATTATAATGGACAGAGAGACGGACGGACACACATGTCTAGATCGACTCAGCTCAGTCTTTTGGGGCTGCACAGAGCTATAATACCCTGCCAACATAGTTGTGTAGTCTATAAATAGGATTCCATCTTCGGATCTGATATAGGTGTGCTAAAAATATCTCTATGTCCTATTCAAAAAAAATTATATTGGATTTACGCCTGATTTATAAATTTTCAAAATGTTGACAATGTGTCTGGGATGTACAGAAAAGAGTGGGCCTATAATCTAAGATTCGGATTTAATATAGACTTGGTAAAACTATAACGATATACCTCGGGTATTCCATCCGCTTCATATGCAATTTACAAGTTTAAAAATGTTTACCCTTTGCGGAGGAAATACCATATAGATTGGACTGATGTTTCGCATCTTCAAACTTGATCTATGTTTGGTAAAATATTACTTTTGAATACAATTTTTTATTCTCTTCGAGAGGAAATAAAAAGCCAGTCAGTCGGACGGAAATGTTAAAATTGCCATCAAATTGTCTAAAACGGATTTGGTTCAGTGTATATGCCATAATTAGCCCTGAGACTGGCCTATTAGGGCCTGTTACAAAAAATGAACCGTTTATTTATTCACCAATAACTATTTGTCCTCTTCAAAGTAATCGGTCTTCGGTCGGATGATTGAGCTTTGGATTCAATGTTATAGCCTTAGGTCTTCTATGTGCAGAAACATACCCTATCCATAGAAAAGAGGATATGGTATATTTTCAATAGGAGCTATCTTCAATGTATGCCTTTGCTATATTAAGATGAAGTCTTCTGTCGATAAAATAGGCATTCTATTAACAGAACAGTTCTTTTTTTCCAAAGGAGAGGTCTTCGATCCACATAAGAGTTATTTTTTTCAAAGAAGATGTCTTCGAACCACGCAAGAGGTCTTCTATTTATAGAAAAGGTCTTTCATCTGTAAGACAGGTGTTCTACCTTTACAAGAGGTCTTCTATCTATAGAAAAGTTCTTCTATCTCTAAAACAGGTTTTGGACACCTGTTCTTCGATCCACAAAAGAGTTCTTTTTTTCAAAGAAGAGGTATTCGAACCACGCTAGATGTTTTCTATTTATAGAAAATATATTCCATCTCTAGGACAGGTGTTCTATCCTTAAAAGAGGTATTCTATCCATAAAAGAGGTCTTCTACCTATTGAAGAGTTATTTTTTTCAAAGATGAGGTCTTCGAACCTCGGAAGAGGTCTTATATCTGTAGAAAAGCTCTTCTATCCCTAGAAAAGGTGTCAGGAGAGGTATTCGATCCACAGAAGAGTTCTTTGTTTATCAAGGAAGAGGTCTGCGACCCACGCAAGAGGTATTCTATCTATTGAAAAGGTCTTCCATCTGTAGGACAGATCTTCTATCTTTACAAGAGGTCTTCTATCCATAGAAGGGGTCTTCTACCGATTACATAGGTCATCAATTTATAGAAGAGGTCATCTACCTATAGAAGAGTACTTTTCAGTACTTTCAAAGATGAGGTTTTCGAATCTCGGAAGAGGTTTTCTATCTATAGAAAAGTTCTTCTATCTCTAGAGCAGGTGTTCTATCCCTAGAATAGGTGTTCTATCCATAGAATAGATCTTCTACCTATAGAAGAGATATTCTATCTATAGTAGATGTCTTCTATTTCTAAAAGAGATCTTCCATCCGTAGAAGATGTCTTATACCCACAAAAGAGGTCTTATATCCGTAGAAGAGGTATTCAACAAAGTACAACAAAGAGGTCCACGTTTTGGTATAGCCCCATATAATGGGGAGTTTGGGCACGTTTTTTAAATTAACTGTAATTTGATATTTTGGCTTCTCATGGGGTTTCAAATATTCTTACCAAAAATATAAATATTCCGAACTTTGGGAAGTTTGGGCACAGTTTTCAACCAATATGGCTTACATTTTAGATTTTGTCATTTCATTGGGATTCAAATATTCTTACCAAAAATTTTCAATATTGGTCCAAAATTTCGATATGTGGAGGAGTTGTGTCACAGTTTTCAACCAAAATTGTATATTTTTCAACCGAATTGGCTCTACTTTGATATTTTGAGTTCTGATTACTGTTTTGTTGGTATTTTCAAGATCGTATCCCAATTTTCCTACATAAGAGGGTCTTTAGTTTGATATTCGTTTTTTTCTGGCATCAAGTTGTCGTGGCATAGCAACCATATAAAAGTCCCAATCGATTTGAATCATTTTTTATGTACACCTCAATGTAGAGGGTTTAAGAAGTTCGACCCATCCGAACTTCATTTTCTTTATGAATTGATTTCTTTTTATAAGAGGTGTTTTGTCCCCAGAAGGGCTCTTCTGTCCTTAGAAGTGGTATTTTCTCCTCGGAAGTGGTCGTATGTCTACAGAAGTGGTCTATTGTCCACAGAAGTGGTCCTCGGATCACATAAGATGTCTTCTGACCACAGAAGAGGATTTTTTGTTAAATACATTTTTATAAACATCTTCTTCTAAAATATTTATGTCAATCGAAAGAAATTGAAGCTCAGCCGATCTCATACCTTACTATCTCATAATTATTTATTTCAGATTTTATATTTTTATTTAGATTTTTTTGAATTTTATGAGCATTCAAAAAAATAAAATTTGATTTTTATTATTATTTTTCAAATATTTTATCGTCTACAAATCACTGTCTTTGTAGTCGACTATTGAAAACAACAAAAACAACAAGAAAACAAAACAAAGAAATTCACAAAAAAAGAAAACACAACAAAACCTAAATACAGCTACCTCTTAGGTCCAAAAAAGAAAAGAAAAAGAACCGTTTTACTCATTTAAATGGAATAACTAATACAAAAAAACTTTTGACATGAATGGGTTTTGAGATGACGGCGAGACGAGGCAAACCGAAGGGGCAACATTATTGAGACTTGTTGATCTATTGTTACCATTTTTTTTTTTTTTTTTTTGCTACCAAAATTTCTTCTGAACTTCTCCAAACTGTTGATTTTTTTTTAGTCTTCTCGAAACAAAATCTTAACTGTTTTTGTGTGTCGAATTTGAAATATTGAAGTTGAAATAGTTTTTTGTTTTAATTTTTTTCGCTTGATTATGCCAATTGTTGTTTGCAAATCATTTTATAACTGCGCTGACCCTAATTTCCATCCCACAACGTTGACATTTGACATTTTTATTGGTGGAGTTGGTTTGCTCAATCAATTGTTTGCCAATATTTATGTGGAATTTTATTTCAATATTGTTTTTTAAATCTTTTTTTAATTCAAAAATTATTAATTTGTATTTTTTGTATTTCTTTCCAGACTGATGTTATTCACGAATTACGTCCTCGATCCATGGATTGTGCCATGGATTCGGGTGTTTCATTAAACGGTGACAATGGTTGTAATTCCGATGCCGGTGAAAGTCAACAGGTAAGGAGGGGAAACGGGAAATAAACGGAAAATTTTAGATTAGATTTTAGTAGAATTATTGAAGACCTCATAAAGGAGATTTTCTCTCCACAGAGGAGATTTTCCATTCATAGAGACAAAATACCTCTTCTGCGAACAGAAGCTCAGAAAATCTCTTCTGTGAATTGAAAAAAAAAACTACTGACCTCTGAAGCCGATTTGTGTCTATAGAAGAGATCTTCTGTCTATAGAAGAGATCTTCTGTCTATAGAAGTGGTCATCTCTCAACAGAAGAGTTTTTCTGTGCACAGGTCTTCCGTCCCAAAAGAGGTCTTCTGTCCCCAAAGAGATCTTCAGTCAATATAAGAGGTCTATCATCAAAGAGGTCCTCAATCCACAAAGGTAGTCTTCTGTAGAAGTTGTCTTCTGTCCTCAAAAGAGATCTTCTGTCCCCAAAGAGATCTTCAGTCCGCAGAAATTGTCTTCTGTCTATAGAAGAAGTCTTCCATCTACATGAAGAGGTATTCTGTCCCCAAAGATAACTTCCATCCACAGAAGAAATATTCTGCCCACAGAAGAAGTTTTCTGAACACAGAAGAGGCCTTCTGTCCACAGACAGAAGTCGTCTATCCCCAAAAGAAGGACAGAAAAGGACAGAGGTCTTCTGTCCACAGAAGGGGTCTTCTGCCCACAGAAGATGTCTTCTGTCCACAGAAGATGTCTTCTGTCCACAGAAGATGTCTTCTGTCCACAGAAGATGTCTTCTGTCCACAGAAGATGTCTTCTGTCCACAGAAGATGTCTTCTGTCCACAGAAGATGTCTTCTGTCCACAGAAGATGTCTTCTGTCCACAGAAGATGTCTTCTGTCCCCAGAAGGGGTCTCCTGTCCCCAGAAGGGGTCTTCTGCCCACAGAAGAGGTCTTCTGCCCACAGAAAAGGTCTTATGTACACAGAAGGGGTCTTCTGTCCACAGAAAAGGTCTTCTGTCCACAGAAGAGGTCTTCTGTCCACAGAAAAGGTCTTCTGTCCACAGAAGAGGTCTTCTGTCCACAGAAGAGGTCTTCTGTCCACAGAAGAGGTCTTCTGTCCACAGAAGAGGTCTTCTGTCCACAGAAGAGGTCTTCTGTCCACAGAAGAGGTCTTCTGTCCACAGAAGAGGTCTTCTGTCCACAGAAGAGGTCTTCTGTCCACAGAAGAGGTCTTCTGTCCACAGAAGAGGTCTTCTGTCCACAGAAGAGGTCTTCTGTCCACAGAAGGGGTCTTCTGTCCACAGAAGGGGCCTTCTGTCCACAGAAGGGGTCTTCTGTCCACAGAAGGGGTCTTCTGTCCACAGAAGGGGTCTTCTGTCCACAGAAGGGGTCTTCTGTCCACAGAAGGGGTCTTCTGTCTACATAAGGGGTATTCTGTGGACAGAAGGGGTATATTCATGGAGGAGTTCTTCTGTCCACTCAAGGGGTCTTCTGCCCACAGATGAGGTCATCTGTCTTCTGTTAAGGAGAGGTCTTTTGTTCCCAGAGAAGGTCGGCAGAAGACCTCGTCTTCTACCCATAGAGGAGGCCATCTATTCATGGAGGAGTTCTTCACCCCATAGAGGAGACATTCTACCTATCAGAAATCTGCTATCCGGAAAATAGGTCAACTGTTTTAAGAAGATGTCTCCTATTTGTAAAAGAGAAATCCTACATATAGAAGAGACCATGTATTTATAGGAGGGACTTTCTTCTATTTATAAAGGGTACCTAGATTGGACTTGAAGTGCCTTGAAATATACTGAAGAAGGTCTCTATATATAGAAGAGTCCTTTAGTATATAGAATAAAACCCGTCTGTATATAGACAAGTTTTTCTTGTTGTGTTTTTTACTAATTTTATATTCCATTCTCTTTTTTTGCAGGACATGGAAGCCAGACGTTTGAAACGTGGCCATGTACTAACCGAACTATTGGAAACCGAACGTATCTATGTCAGCGAAATGAGTTCAATATTAAAGGTAAGTTTTCAAAGTCCAACAAAATCATGAACAACAACTGTTGTTGTGGACTTCAACTGAACGTTTTACGCATTCCGTTCGGTTATTTTGCCCCCCAGAGCAGCAGCGATCGACCGATCGCACAACCATTAGTTGTTACGGCCAATAAATATGTAATATTCTGTAAGGCGAATAAATTACTAACCAGCAATTAATAAAATTTATAAAGAAAAAACAACAACAACAAAAACAATAAGGCTGCTACAACAACAGCAATCAGAATCCCCAAGCAACTGTTAAACCAGAGCCAAAGAACAGAATGCAGAAAAAACCCTCCATTTATAATTGCCAAGTAATCATCATAAAACCATGAAGTATTTAACTTTTTTGTACAAAAAAAAATAGTTCTGCCAAAGGAAACCAACAACCCAATCTGAATAATGTTCATCGTTCATTATAAATAATAACACATACGCCCATCCATTCTTCGATGGTCATACAACCACGGCAGCTGCCACCACCACCTGAATGCTGTACAGCCATCCATCCATTCATCCACTGGAAGTATGGTCAGTGAACTACTTTAGTACAACAATTGTTCGGTTGGACTGAGGGGCTAACTGACAGCCTTTTTGTGTTGTGTGGGGAAGCAAAAGGTGGAGTTTTGAAAATTAAAAGAAGAACAAAAAAACTTGCAATAAATTATATTCTAGAAAACGGTAAAAAATGCAAGCTTAGCAGAAGCGAACGAAGTACGATGCAGTAGCATTTTGAAAAAAAAACAACACTAACGGCCAAGCCATAAGAAATCTTATAAAACACATTAGTTAGGTAAAGATTTGAAAAACAACAAGAAATAAAAATAACGCTGAAATGAAATAGAAATATGCAGCAGAGAAAGAAAACACAAACAACAACAACAAATAGTGTTCATGTATGCTTATGATTGCAATTAGTGCATTAAGTGATTTGTTTTGATGCTTTTTCATATTTTTTCATAACAGGGTGGTACAACAAGTTGATTAAGGGGGGACACACATTGTAGGAGGTTAGGTTAGTTCTCAATTTGGAATTCGAAAACAATTGGCAATTTTGTCCAAATAAACGTGGTATCATGGATTCATGACAAGAAACACATTCACATGCAACATTGGTTAGTTCATAACTACTTGGATTACAAATTGTAATAGACAGATGGACGGACATACATAGCTATATCGATTCAGTTACACCAAATGTATGTGTCTTCTGTCCACGGAGGAGGAGGAAATGGACGGACATACGTAGCTATATCGATTCAGTTACACGAAATGACTGTGTCTTCTGTCCATGGAGGAGGTCTTCTGTCCACATATGAAGTCTTCGGCTCACAGATGAGGTCTTCCGTCCACAGAAGAGGTCTTCTTCCCACAAAAGAGGACTTATGCCCACAAAAGTGATTTTGTGTCCGCAGAAGTAGTCGTGGGTCTACAGAAAAAGTCTTCAGTACACAGAAGTGGTCTTTTGTCCTCATAATTGGTTTTCTGTACATAGAGGTAGTCTTCTGTCCACAGAAGATGACTTCTGTCCGCCGATGTTGGCTTCTGTCCACATGAAGAGATATTCAGTACCCAAAAAAGATCTTCTGTCCGCAGCAGTACAGGGTTGCCCATATTCGACGGACCCATGTTTTTTTTTTTTTGTTTTTTTTTTTAATCAAAGAAAAAAAATAAATTTGGCGGTTGGCAATGTTAATCATTTAATTTGTTCCAAGTAGATTTGTTTACATCAATTTTTGAATATGATATCTCTCAAATGGCCGCCTCTGGTGTTAATGACGTATTGTGCCCTTTTTGCTGAATTTTCCATCGTTTTTGCCAACATTTCGGCCGGAATAGCGGCTATTTCTTCACGAATGTTGTCCTTGAGCTCTCCTACGGTCCTTGGCTTGTTAACGTAAACCGTTGACTTCAAATATCCCCACAAGAAGAAGTCAGGCGGCGTCAAATCGGGCGAACGCGGTGGACCGTCCAAATTACCACTTTTTGACATCAAACGGCCCGGAAACAAATTCTTCAGAAAATCGATTGTTATGCGACTTGTGGCGCCGATTGTTATGCGGTGGAGCGCCGTCTTGTTGAAACCAGAACTGCCTCATATGCTTTCGACGAATAATTGGCATCACAAAATTGGTCATCATGTCGCAATAACGCTCCTGATTGATGGTAACAGCATGGTCATTTTCATTTTGGAAGAACAACGGCCCAATGACCGTTTTCGCACTAACGCCGCACCAAACTGTGACTTTTTCGTCATGAAGAGGCACTTCTAGAATCTCCTGAGGATTTTCAGTGGCGTAAAACGGGAATTTTGTTTATTTACGGTCCCATTCAATGTGAAATGGGCTTCATCGGACATGATAATTTTGTTCCAAAATTGCTCGTCATCTTCGGCCATTTCGATGACTCTTTGGGCCCATTCCAATCGACTAGGCTTGTCCGCAGGCAACATTCTTTGCGTCAATTGAAATTTGTACGGGAACAAATGCAAATCAATGCGAATAATCCGTTGTAAAGTGGACCGAGACATGCCCAACTGCTGAGAACGGCGTTTTTGGGATGTTCTTGGGGCCCTCTCAACACTGGCTCGTACGGCAGCGATAATCTCGGCCGATCGACTTTTATATGGCCTCTTCGGATTAGAAAGAGCCTTGCCAGTCGAAATTTTTCGTATAAACGCTTAATTGACTTCTTCTGTTGAATGTAAATTTCAACTATTTCAGAGCGTGGCGTGTATTGGTTCATGGTAAAAGTCTGCTTGGACTGACGCTTCAAACGCGGTATGTCACTAAGCGATGTGACATCTCTGTCAAAAGTTATGGCGTTGCCAGATGGGTCCGTCGAATACGGGCAACCCTGTAGTCGTGTTTTTACAGAAGAACTCTTTTGTGCACATAAGCGGTGTTATGTCATCAGATCTTATCTTATGTCTACATGAAGAGGTATTCTGTTCCAAAAAGGTCTTCTGTCCCCAAAAAAGATCGTCTGCCCCTAAAAAAGATGGACTATTGTGTCTGGAGTATTTTGGAAAGCAAATTTTATTGCCAAACTTTCTCTCCAAAAATACTCCAGACACAATATACCAAAGTGTCGATCACCTCAAGCAAGCGCCTCGCCGAAAATGGGCCAAACTACGGCAGACCAATATTCGGGCAGCGTGTGACGGTATCATTGGCCGTTTTAAGGTCATAATTCGTGCCAAAGGTGACCAATTCGACCAAATCTAAGCTTATTCTAAAATTTGATGCTTTTTCCGACATTTTTTGCTTTCATTCAATAAAATAAAAAAATAAAATTAAAAATTATCTCGTTGACTTTGTTGCAGTTTTTTATCTCACTCTGTATTTTGGGTTTGGTTTAGCTATTCCGAGTTTTCAGAGGTAGAAAATTGCCAATATAGGTTTATATTTTCGGCATATTTCCAACACAAAGGTCCAACTTTTAGTATTTAGAAGGTCTTAGCTGGTTATGAAATCTCCTGGCATGTAATTTTCTTAGGCGAAGAAATCCATACCATCTGAATAATTGGTTCCAAATCTCTCCCGCTAAATATAAATATAAAAGCTGAGGTGGTAAATCAGCCCTTGGTGGGAATTTAAGAATTTTGGCTCATGGACGGATTCTAATATAGACTAAGTAACATTAACTTCTTCAAAATATTTAAGTTTCAATAACCTACCTGATAATTGTGGTAATATTTTGGATTATGAGGATCCATCTAACGAGGATCCATATTACCTCAAACAGATCATTCAAGGTGACGAATCTATGGAGTATGTCATTGACGCCCAGAAGAAACGAAGGTTGAAGAAAGCACGTCAGGTTGAGTTCACGGTTTTTTTCAACTGCTGTAGCCTGGTGCATCATGAATTCTTGCCGCAAGGTCGTACGGTCAATAAGGAATTTGTGTCATTTTCGAGAGGCAATTCGTCAGAATCTAAGCTGGTGCGGACTTGACCCCGGCTGATATTTTGCTCTTCCCAATGCTGAAAACACCCATGTAAGGAAAAAGTTTTGCTACGAATGAGGAGATAAAAGAAAAGTCGAAACATCAGCTGTTGGCTTATCAAAATTGTTTCGAGGATTGGAAAACATTTTCAAAAGTATATAACGATGTGACAATTTTGAATCAAAACGTTTGCTCCCATCAAACATCAGCATCGTCTTCCAATTATGTTAAAATCAATTACTAAAGTTAATGAACTATTTTCAAAGTGTGGTGACTGTCAGTAATGGTGGTCGGAGGGTAACTTATCTTTCATAAAATGTCCATAGTTCCAAAAATATTGTATACAACAGGCTCCAAATAAAACGACCATTGTTATTATCATTCCATATAGCGTAAAATTTAGATTTGAGTGTGGAATTTAAATTACGCCTAAACAAACTAAAATATTCTCCAGATAATGACCTTCTAACAAGTTCCAAAAATCCATTGTTAAAATAAAATATCAATTGTAAAAATAAGACAATTCCCAACTAGATTACCAAGGGTCTCATTGATAAGGGCAACGAACTGCATTGGGAAAAAAACTTGATGCCCTCCAGGGCATCATTTTTATTGTGGCTATAATTTTTTTAATACATTTGTTTAAACAAATATTGAAACGTGAATCAAATCGGAGATCACATCGTTAAAAAACCCTCTTACAAAATGCAAACGCATTTTTATGACAAAATGTGTGAATAGACGAGGGAGATGAATGCCACCTATCATCTGAAATATTATCGATTGTGAAATTTTATTTCAAGAAATGAAACAATAAACTCCAGTCTGCTGCTGCTGCACCCCTTTTAATAAAAACAACTGCGGCTCTGAATAAAACTACAACAACAGCAACAAAACCCAAAGAAGAATATTTTATAATTCCCCCAAACAGACAAAATGAATTTGAAATGATGATCAACGGCATGATGGTGGATAGCTGAATGGTTGGCTACACGCTGAAGATATGATGATCATGAGCATTGTCAAGTTCGTATGGTGGTTGGCTTCGGATCTTGAAATAAAAATGTTTTAAATGGTGGAGAGGGGATATGTGTTTTGTTGTTGTGTTTCTTTTTAATTTATTAGAAGTCTTGGCTTGATGGACTTTAGGCAAACTGCATCTTGAAAAACTTAAAACATTTGCAATAATCCACCAACGGAACACAGTTGCTGGTCTCTGAGGAAATCGGAAAATCGTTTTGGTGCTAAAATTAAAAAAAGAAAATAAAATTTTAACAACAACAAAATATAATAACAACAACAATGCGCTATGGTGGCTATGATCTACAAAAAGCTTCAAAGGCCACGCGATCGGAAAATAACCCATCGGATCAAACGGGAACATTTCATTTGAGAAAAGTTCAAAATACCGCCTGCCAGATTATGGAAAAATTCAATACGAAACTACATCATTCTTTGAGGAAATTATATTCCGTAAAAGCTTTTCAGGAGTCTTCCTCCGGTCCAGGTCGTAATTCCCCTCTTTCATTTCGTGGTTCTCTATTCGATTCGGAAAGTTGTTCGGATAATGGAAGAAAAAGTGCTACCGGCACCACAACCACAATTCGTTATACGGAAAATGATTTCCGTCCCCACTTCGATTTCAGTGAATGTAAAGACCAGCATAATTACATATTCGGGACGAATATCTATAATCTATCAGCGCGCAATATGCTAAATGGAAAATCGACAATAAAAATTTTAAATACCTTCAAAGAAATCGAGGAAAGTAATTCCCTGGAATCCATCAAATCGGCCAAGAATAGCCTGCAGCGCCTGAAAGAGGAACGTAAAACCATATTCAAAGAGCTTTTAGACCTTTCCAGCTGCGATGAATCTTTGGAATTTCGTTTGGTCAAAGACTATTTGGAATGCAATTCCTATTCCGAGATTGAAAATGACTTGGAATTTAAAGAATATTTACAGCGTAAAAATTATTCCGATATTTTAAGTTATCTGGAGGATTGTGCTGAACCGAAAAGTATGATGTCCATATCTTCATCGGTGGCCAGGGCCCAATCGGCATTGGGTAAAAATTCTTTAAATAGTTTGAAGCTGCTATCCACACCCAAGCCCATTAAGGAACCCAAGCGTACACCACAAATTGAAAGTCTGGTATGTTCCACTTGTCGTTCCGCCATGGGTGACTACAGCTCCTCCTCGTGTCTCTCATATGGAGGTAACACACTAAAAGCCCCCAAGAACCGTGATCCCGTTACAGAAAAATCTAAACAACCGAACAGCAACACGAACAACTTCTTTACATCATCATATCGTGAAATTTTAAAATTTTGTCAAGAATTTTTCGAAGAAAGTTTCTCGCCGCACAGCAATGGCTTTGAAATGCCCAAATTCACTTTCGGTAAATTTAAGGAACAAAAATACGAACAAATTCTCCAGGAATTTGTCAACAACCAAGGCTATGCCGAGGTTAAGCATTATGTGGAGGATAAATTTGGACAATTTATTGAACAGGAGTTGTGTAAATATGTTAGCACTTTAAGGCAAACAAATGGTGGGGACGCCGCCTGTGGAGAATGTACATATGCCGGAGGCGATAACTGTTCGGAATGTGTAATGTTTTTGAACAAAAATTAAATAAATTTCGGATTTTTGTATATTAATTAATTTTTGTATTTTTTCGGTTGTTTCTGTTTATTTTTTCAGGGTTATTGTGACCAAATGCATTCGGAAGAGATGATGCATCTGGTGCCGGCCAGTTTACAGGGCAAAGAAGACATCCTCTTCGGTAATCTTCATGAGCTCTACACATTTCACAATGACGTATTTCTCAAGGATTTGGAGAATTGTATATCCACGACAGAATTGGTGGCATTATGTTTTGTACAAAGGGTAAGTGGAAAAATATAAAAAAATATATTTATATATATAAAAATGTTTTAAAATTTATTTTGGGAAAAAAATTAAATAACCAATAAAATTAAATAACCAATTTTTAAGAATAAATTATTATTTAAAAAATTAATTAATATTGAAATTCATTAAATCCTGAAGTTTAAAAAAATTGTTTTGAACAAATAATTAATTTTTAAAAATTATTATAAATTAATTAATAATTACTATTAATTAATTATTTTTTTATTTTTAACAAAAATAATAAGTAAATTTTTTTTGAAGAACTAATTTAAAAAATATTTTTAAAAAATATATATGTATATATATACATTTTTTTTTTGAAGAAAAAATTATTGTATAAAAAAATTAATTAATATTCAAATTCATTAAATCCTGATGTTTTAAAAAAATTTTTTGAACAAATAATTAATTTTTAAAAATTATTATAAATTAATTAATAATTACTATTAATTATTTTTTTTTTATTTTTACCAAAGATAATAAGTATTTTTTTTTGTTTTAAAGAATTAATTTATTAAAAATAAAAAAATAATTTTTAAAATATATATTTTTAAGAAAAAAATATTGTTAAAAAAATTAATTAATATTCAAATTCATTAAATAATGAAGTTTTAAAAAAATTATTAATTTTGAATTCCCGTTTTTTTCTGTTCTTTCAGCGTGATACTTTTTATCGTTTATATTCATTCTACTGCCAAAATATCCCACGATCAGATCGTCTACGTGAAACACTGGTCGATACACATCTCTTCCTGCAAGAATGCCAAAAACGTTTGGGCCACAAACTGCCCCTAGCCGCGTATCTACTGAAGCCCGTTCAACGTATAACCAAATATCAATTGTTACTTAAGGATCTGCTACGGTTCAGTGACAATGGCAGTTGCACGAAAGAGCTGCAAAAGGCTCTGGACTGTATGCTGATTGTGCTGAAGTGTGTCAATGACTCAATGCATCAAGTGGCTATAACGGGATTCCCGGTAAGTTGTTAAATATTTTTTATTTATTTTTATATGTAATGATTGTTTTTTCTCCTTTTTGGCAGACCGATTTATCTCAACAAGGCGAATTATTGTTGCAAGATTCATTTCAAGTATGGTCTGAATCGAAAAAAGACATTCGCCTGCGCATAAAGCCCCAACAAAGACATATATTTTTATATCAAAAATCTATGCTATTTTGTAAGCAAACTTCGAAGCCGGGCCACAATAAGAGCACCTATCAGTTCAAGCATTATCTAAAGGTGGGTAAATTGATAATTTTATAAAAAAATATTTAGAAAAAAAATCCAAAGGCATAGATTTAAAAAAAATTTCAAAATTTCGACAGAAATTGAAAAAAAAGATTTTTTTATCATCCCACAAGGATTAGATTTTTTAAAAAAATATTTTGTTAAGACGTAGTTTTTTTTAAAAAAATATTTTTTGAAGGCGTAGATTATTTAAAAAAAATATTTTTTGAAGGCGTAGTTTCTTTTAAAAAAATATTTTTTGAAGTCATCGATTTTTTAAAAAATATTTTTTGAAGGCGTAGATTTTTTAAAAAACATTTTTTGAAGGAGTAGATTTTTTAAGAAATATTTTTTGAAGGCGTAGATTTTTTTAAGAAATATTTTTTGAAGGCGTAGATTTTTAAAATATATGTTTTTTAAAAAATATTTTTTTTCAAGACGTAGATTTTTTAATTTTTTTTTTTTTTTTTTTGAAGACGTAGATTTTTTAAAAAATATTTTTTGAAGACGTAGATTTTTTAAAAAATATTTTTTTAAGGCGTAGATTTTTTAAAAAATATTTTTTTAAGGCGTAGATTTTTTAAAAAATATTTTTTGAAGGCTTTGTTAAAAAAAATTGAGGCGTAGATTTTTTAAAAAATATTTTTTGAAGGCGTAGATTTTTTAAAAAATATTTTTTGAAGGCGTAGATTTTTTAAAAAATATTTTTTGAAGGCGTAGATTTTTTAAAAAATATTTTTTAAAGGCGTAGATTTTTTAAAAAATATTTTTTGAAGGCGTAGATTTTTTAAAAAATATTTTTTGAAGGCGTAGATTTTTTAAAAAATACTTTTTAAAGGCGTAGATTTTTTAAAAAATATTTTTTGAAGGCGTAGATTTTTTAAAAAATATTTTTTGAAGGCGTATATTTTTTAATTTTTTTTTTTTTTTGAAGACGTAGATTAAAAAAAAAATTTTGGAAGGCGTAGATTTTTTAAAAATATTTTTTGAAGCCGTCAATTTTTTAAAAAAAAAAATTTTGAAGGCGTAGATTTTTTAAAAAAATATTTTTTGAGGGCGTAGATTTTTTAAAAAAAAAAATTTTGAAGACGTAGACTTTTTAAAAAAATTTTTTTGAAGGCGTAGATTTTTTAAAAAAAAATTTTTTGAAGGCGTAGATTTTTTAAAAAAATTTTTTTGAAGGCGTAGATTTTTTAAAAAATTTTTTTTGACGACGTAGATTTTTTAAAAAATATTTTTTATCATCTCACAAGGCGTAGATTTGTTAAAAAATATTTTTTGAAAGTGTAGATTTTTTAAAGAATAGTTTTGAAAGCGTAGATTTTTTAAAAAATATTTTTTGAAAGCGTAGATTTTTTAAAAAATATTTTTTGAAGGCGTAGATTTTTTAAAAAATATTTTTTGAAGGCGTAGATTTTTTAAAAAATATTTTTTGAAGGCGTAGATTTTTTAAAAAATATTTTTTGAAGTACTGGTAAGGCGTAGATTTTTTAAAAAATATTTTTTGAAGTACTGGTAAGGCGTAGATTTTTTAAAAAATATTTTTTGAAGTACTGGTAAGGCGTAGATTTTTTAAAAATTTGAATTTTTTTAAACAATATTTTTTCGAGATCCCACAAAGCCTAGTTTAAACAAATGTAATTACATTACCTCTCTCTCACCCCCATTTTCAGATGTCTCAAATCGGTCTAACCGAATCCGTGCGCGGCGACACAAAACGTTTTGAAGTTTGGTTACAGGGCCGCCAAGAGGTACACACTCTGCAGGCGCCAACCTTGGAAATCAAAAACAAATGGGTGGCCGAAATCAAAAAAGTCCTGCTAACCCAATTGGAAGAGTTGAAAGGTGAGAAAATCAAACAGTATGGTCTAAATCATCGTGGCCTCAGACAGACAACATCATGGGATACACCCAATATCTTGTTGGGTGGCCCCGGCCGTACCATTAGTTGTGATGCATCGTCGGAATCATCGAATCGTAACTCGAATTGTAGTAGTAGTGATGATAATTGTACAACAATAAGTTTGGGCAGTGGTAATAGTGTGGGTGGTATGATGGCCCCTTGTTCAAATATATCGCTGGTATCTGGTATAACAGCAAATTCGGGATCCGGAGCAGCAACAGCGGCATCGGATAAGGAACATAATAATGAGGCATGCGGTTGGAGTTCAGATTATTCGAATAGTGAAGATGAAATGTCAACGGCCGATGATAATAGCAGTACACCGGTAAGTTGATTAAGTTATTTGGTTTATTTTTGAAGCCTATTTTTAGGCATGTTTAGTTGTTTTTTTTTTATTGAAAAAAAAACTTTTTTGAATATATTTCCCTTTTTTTGTTGAAAAAAAAAATTGAATTGGTTTTCGGTTTAGTTTTTGAATTTCCCCCTATTTTTTAATTTTAGTTTGAGTTTTTTCAAAATTATTGTAATTTGTATTCCCTCGAATTTTTTTTTGTTTATTTATTTGTCCTTTGTTTTTTGTTATTCTTTTGTTTCAATGTTTTTTAATTCATTTTTTGTCTTGTTTTTCTCTTCATGTTTTTTTGGGTTCTCTTTGTTTTATTTCCATGCACCAAACCAAAAACAAAAACACTTCATTCCAAATATCTAAAAAATAAATAAATACCAAACAACTTACGTCCTACGCAAAACAACAAAACGTAATGTAACAATAATTAAAAAAAAAAATTAACTAAAATTTAAAACCAAAACAAAAAAAAAATAATTTCTCTCTGGTGTCTGTGCCGTGTAATGAAAAAAAAATCTCTTCCCAAACAAAATATCAAAACCTCAATACGTGTGTGGTATGTGTGTTTGATTTATTCCAATTTATGTAGCGTTTCATAAATTTCCTTGCACCATGGTCTACCACCTCTACTACTACTACTAGCAACAGCACCACTACTCCGCATAATGGCCATCAGCATAATTCGAACCATCACAACCAAAACCATAATCATCACCACCACCACCATCATCAGCAACTAGATAATGGTTCTACAACATATCCTCGTAATTCGACCAACAATACCAAATCCAATTCGAAATTTTATGTTTCCGTTGAGCATTGAGTGGTTTACAAACCAGATGATTTGATAGGAAATGCGGAATTACATTCAAACTTCTAAGGTGGCAAATTCAAATAAAATCTCCTTAGAAGTTCTGTAAAACTGTGGCTTTCTTTCAAAACATACAAAAAAATGGGAATGTTGAACTCTTCTCCACCACTCTTCCTTCCCACTCTACCAAACCAAAATCAAAACCAACGAAAAACTAATCTTCCATGTGCAATAAAAATGTGAAAGAAACATTTTGAAAAGAAAACAAATAGAATTTTTTTCTCATTAAATTTAGAATTTTTATTAAATTACAAGTACAATTAATATTAATTAAGCTGTTTTTTTTTTTCATTCATGTTTTTTTATTTGTCGTCATTGTATGAGTGTGTTGTCTCTGTGTATATATATATATTTGTAAAACGAGCAAAAGGCAAAACATGTAAAAGGAGTCATACTCTCTAGTATTTAGTAATAATAATTTGTTAAATGTTTTAAACTTAGCGGTATTTATTAAAATTTAAAGATGAATAGACGAAGTGGAATTTAAATGTAGTTCTATCAAATCATAAATGCAATTTTGTCAAATTCATTTTGTTTTTTGTATATATAAAATTATATTGCCTAAGTGTGCAAAAATAAATACTCTTTTTTTGAAAGTATAAGAATAAACAAAAACAACTGAATAAGAGGCCATATTTCTATTTCAATTTTGAATATATAAATGGGAATATTTTATTACCGTAATAATGCAATTTCATTTCTTTTGTGGCCACAATGTGTAAAATAATAACAATGATTTCGAATATTAAAGGGGGGTTATTATAACTATATGGATTAAATAAAAATTGAATTGAGTTTAAAGCTCGATTATATTAAAAAATGAAAAAAAATCATAAAGTTGTTATAGTATTATTATATATTATATATACTCTCTAAAAATTAGACAACATTAATTAAAAGTTTATTATCATCAGTGATTGATATAAAACTTTGAAACATTGGTTATAACAAATTTGTATAAGGTTATATATTAGGCACTTCCATATTCATTTATATTCTCCGAATCCACAGACTAAAACCCAATGATATTTTGATTGGGATTTCATTTTTCCATTCTAACAATTCAACAGGGATTCTATCGCGTTTCTTTAGAATAGTGGAGGCTTTTGGATTTGTTTCCCTCAAATGGCCATTATTTGTATTAAAATTCAGTTTCATTCATTTTTTTCCCTTCCACTATCCTTTGAAGATATTTGCAAACTACAAGTCAATGTCGCAATGGGCAATATATTAAAATATAAAGCATACTTTTAGGCGTTATATTCATTTAAGATTTTATTTATAAAATTTTTCGGATATTTCAATTAAAATAAATGTGAATTCAGTTTCTAAACATTTCAAGGCGTGATTTTTTCCAAACTACCTTACATACTTAGCTGGCTTGTGACAGAACATTTTTTCCATAAGCCGAGCTTAAAAAAGATTTCCAAGCGCATCGGTCTTGCGTGTAGATTTTCCATTATGAAAGACCATGTGCACAGACTATTTGTGGCCTTCCCCTTCTGCGTGACTTAGTCGCTGCAGCTCGATACGACTGACAATATTGCTAGCCGCATATAGACTATAAAGGTCGTGGTTCATTCGATGGCGATATTCAATGTCGACGCGATCAGCCCATAAATCTTTCGGATAAAATTTCTCTCAAATACTCCAATAGCTGCATCATCTGATTTCGCAAGTACCCAAGCTTCAGATCCATATAACACGGGTATTATCAGCGTCTTGTAGAGTATGAGTTTGGTTTTGCGGGGGGTGGTCTTGTCTCAAAACTGTTTTCTTTGACCATAGTAGCATCTATTGGCCAACAATATCCTTCTCCGAATTTCAACAATGATGTCATTAGTTCTATTTATGGCGGTACCAAGGTATATAAATTTGTTGACTACCTCAAAACTGTAGTTCTGTAGTTCGATCGCAATACAGAGTGCCATTTCTGTTTACATTTGCATCTCGTATGATATTTTTCAGCAGGATGTTAAACCGGTCACACCACAAACTGTTACCTTGTCTGAATCCTCGTTCGGTATAAAAGGGCTCCGATAGGTCTTTTAAGACTTTAACTGCTGATCTTGTGTCACATAAAGTTATCCTGCATAGCCGTATTCATTTAGCTGAATGCCGAACGCAGACATGCTTTTAGCACCTCTGAACGGGTTGGGCTGTCAAATGCGGCTTTATAGTCGACGAATATGTGGAATGTGTCGATGTGCTTTTCGCGAATCTTTTCCAACATTTGGTGCAGCGTGAAAATCAAGTCAATGGTGGATTTGCCAGGTCTGAAGCCGCATTGGTATGGTCCAATAATGTCATTTACCATTGGCTTCAGTCGTTCACACAGCACGCTGGATTGCACTTTTTATGCGATGAAAGGGAGAAATATTCCTCTATAGTTAGTTGTCAAATATTGTCTTGTCTCCTCTTTTGTGCACGGAACACATGATGCTGGCGATCCAATCATTGGGCATACATTCCTCCAGCCAAATTGTGCTAATCAGTTGGTGCCAGCATCTGACCACCAGTCTTAAATAGTTCAGCTGGTAACCCATCGGCACCTGCTGCTTTATTATTCATTCTTCAGCTGATTGATTGCTATTCTGACCTCATCTTGTCTAGATGGTATGCACTCTATACCGTTATCTCTTATTGGTTCTGGGGTATCTTCTTCACCGTCACTATTTGATAGCAGAAGCTTTTCAAAATGCTCCTTTCAGATCCTCAAGACGGTGTCTGTATCTTTCACCAGGTTTCCTCCTTCATATCTACAGGTGGATGTGCCTGCACCAAAGCCTTCGGTACTTTAATCGTGGGTAAAATTTCCGGACTTCGTCCGATTTGCTCCCGCTCACGTTTTTCTTGGTCTTTCTTCAAACTACCAGGCATGAATTAAAAAAATATATATTTTTTCCAAGTCTTTGTAACAGCCAAATGGAAACGACACATGATTCCTTTTGAGAATATGCAAAGAATCACTTTCTGAGTCGATTTATGCATGTCCGTCCATCCGTCCGTCTGTTGATGTTAACTTGTAAACAAAGTACTGATTTATTTCGCCCAAGGACGAACCCTATTGAAATTTGTAAAAAATAGTTCAGATTTAGATATTGCCCCCATATGTATTTTCGTCCGATTTTATGTAAATGGTGTACCAAAACCGTATATATCTTTCGATTTGCACGAAATTTGGAGTTACGGACTGAGTGGAGTCTAGAATGATGTGTGCTATGTTTCGTAAAAATCGGTTCCAATTTAGATATAGCTCCCATATACATTTTCGTCCGATTTAATGTAAATTGTACACTAAATCCCTTATATATCCTTCGATTTGCACGAAATTTGGCATAGTGTACCGAATTGAGCCTAGAATGATGGGTGCTAAGTTTCGTGAAAATCGGATCCAATTTAGAATACATATTTGAAATATAGACGTCGTATCCGAATCATTGTTATTGTTTTGCAAAATATTTACCACAAAAGTGAAAAGAAATAACCACCGAAAAATAAACCAACGAATAGCCTTCGACACCAAAGAAACACAGCATTAAAAATTCGAAAACGAATTGGAACACAAAAGAAAACGTTACTTCTCGACACCTTTTAAAATATGTGTTTTTCAATGTTTTATTGTTTTAAAATAATCTGTTGCTAGAAAATGACAATATCAATTTAAAAAAAAAAAAATCTCATTTTCAATCAATTGCCAGACAAATTCTGAACATATGTTCGACATGATTTTCTAAGAAAAACGTACAGCTTCATTACAACGAATCATCAACACCATGCCACAACGATTAGTAAAAAAATGAATGATTTGCTTCATCGCGTAAATATCATAAATACATAAAAACAAAACAAAAGTGTTGTGCAGATCATGCATACTATCCTAGAGCATAGTATCCCTCCAACGTCAACACCAGTCAGTCACTCAGCATCATCATCTTCATCATAGCTTTGTTGTTGATTATGTTTTCTATTGTTGTTGTTATGACCACGGGATCCTGTTTAACGTCCATCTTCTATAAACATTTACAAATGACGTACGTAAGTTGAATTTCATTTAGTAAGACCAAAAAAAAAAAACTTTAACATTCCCTTACGGAACCTGACCCCC